AAATATAAATTTTAATATTTTCTAAAACACATTCGGGTTTTCCTCATTTTTAGACAGTATACATATTTTATTTTAATTAGGAGTTATATAATTTGTTCCACTACGTAGAGCTTGATTTCCCTTTATTTAAATAAGATAAGCTTCAAATCACACACCTCATATTTTGCCACATACTATTAGATTCGCAAATCATTTCATAAAGATCTTTAATGTGATTTTATTTTTTTCAATTATTCCATGACATGATGTCACATCTCACACCCCATCAACAAACGCCAACGTGAATACATATTTTACGTTTCCCACCTAAATAACGGTTTTCGAATTTATCTTATAAATGCTAAAAGCGAAAAATGTCGAAATTTTTTTAATATCACACATACTTGCCAACATATTACATAACATACATACATACATACATTCATAAATACATTCATAAATATTTGAAAACCAATCGCACTCTTGAATTGGCTAATTGCAAATTCGAATTGAATTCCCTCAAAACATTTAATGATGGCCACCCGACAGCGTCTAACGCAGGACATTTGTAATTTGAGTACACTATGCAGCAATTATAAGAAACTCTCACCGACAGTTGAGTTTTCACCTTTGCAACAGCAACTACTCTGCCCCACCAACGCACCAAGCCCAACACCAATGAATAACGGCACCACAGCTGAAGAAGGAAATGTAGCCGAAAACGATGCGGATGACATTTTGAGTTTGCTAAAAATGTGGCAAACTGAAGGACAATTCAAGCAACTCAAAATACGAAATTTTCTAAGTGCAGTTATTAAAAATGCCGAGGTAAGAAATTGAAATTTGAAATATGCAAATTTATATGTTACACAAATGCCGTTCACTTACATACACACACACACACAGTGCATGACGACGGAGCAAAGGCAGGAGGACAACAGCAACAATGAGCGTTTGCGTGTGTACGCCAACCAATTGGAGAATGTATTATCCGTGCTACAGGCATGCGAGGAAACTACGCTTAACTATGGGGATTTGCAAAAGTTACGCTGCGACATTGAGATAGTCAAAGCGAATGCTAACTGGACTAATATAATTGTTGATCGAACGGAAGTGAATAGTAATAGTGTTCAGCTATTAGCAACTGACAACAGCAGTGGTGAGGCGGCGGATGTGAATGCCAATGCAGCAGTGGCAGAGATGGGAGTCAATTAATTTAGTATATCGTAATTAGTGTCCATGAATGTTTAACTAAAACACGGTTAATCAAGTTGTCAACCAGTTGCGTCAACAGACATAAAAGAACTCGCGCACGCCATCCAAAGTAAATTGTCCATTTACATTTATTAACTACAGATACACATTTACTTAGTAGCATTACATCAATAATTGCAAATTACAATAGAAATTAAGTTGAAGAGTCCAAAAGATTTAGCTATGTAAGCCAATAGTTTTGTAGCTTAAATTGATATTGCTGCCGGCGATAATTGTTTTGTTTGGCTTTATTGCGAAGATCCGAATGCGTTGTATACAAGCGAATATGTATACAGGCACATACATATGTATATCTGTGGGCATTTGAAAACACAACTCGCGTGATTTTAGCTGTATTGATTCTGTAGTGAGAAATAGTTATGTAGCTTGTTAGTTATAGTTGCGATCCCGTACGAGTCCGGACTAGTCAGAAATAGTCAGAATCAGTCAGATTTTACTGGAAATCGATCCCGTACTCGGTTCTCTGACTATTGAGAGGACAAAAAAGAGAGTAAATACGGTTCTCTCTCTGTCAGAAATTACCAGTTTTAGTCCGAGAATTTTTCGCTGGTAAATTCTGGTAAATGTATCAAACGATCAGCTGTAGTGTGTTTGGCAACTAAATTAGGTTTGTTCGTCGAAAATCCAGCAAGAATTATCCAACACTCAAAATATCAGAGAGTAAGAAAAATTCTCTCAAATTCTCTCTCATGTTGAGAAACTTGCAAATTTCTGCACGAACGCAAATTTGCAGGAATTTGCAAGTTTCGCTGCCAGCTGGCGTCCACGGTTGCATTTCAAACATAAAAAATTTTAATCGAATTTTTAAAATTCTTTCGGATGGCCAAAAACAGGATATACATGTATATTTCTTGTTGTTCTGACTTTTTTGACATACATTTCAATTTCTTCATCGTACTAGCTGTCGGGTTTCTTAAATCGACTCTGGTTGCAATTGCATTCCGATTGCGAATACCATTTTTTTCAGCCGAATTAAGTTCAAATCATTGGAATTAACTAAATTAATTATATCAACAATTATTTACTTCCTTTTTTCATAAAAAAATCGCTCGTGTTTTAAAATTTTTAAATTTAACGAACTAATTTATTCAAATTATTGTAGATAAAAATGCAACCATGCGCCACAACCACATGTTTTTCGTGTTTGCAAATTCTTGCTGGAAAAATTTTTTCCAGCAAGAATTTGCAACTTCTCTCCAAGAGAACTGTCACTTTGCTCTCACAATTTTTGAGTGTTGGATAATTTTTTGGTCTGCACGAACGCGATTTGGGCAAAAATCGTGATAATTCGTACAAATTCGTACAAATTTTTTGCTCGACGAACAAACCTATTGTAAACAAAAGAAAAGTGCACTCTGGTAATTCATGTTGAAAAGTATTTAATTACTTGTTTAAGTGGATTCTAATCAATTTCAAAGTATTTTTGGTTATTTATATGTGTGAGCTGAGTGTGTTTACGTATAAAATAAGCAAAAATTTACAACCAAAATTTGGACGTTATGTTGAAGTTGACAGAAGTTAAAATTTTTTACTAGAAAGTGATCCCGTACTTTCCAATGTTACTCTCTCGCTCTGAGCGAATTTTTATTTTTTGACAATTTTACTAGTTTTAGGCCGAGGAATACGGGAATTGCACCTTATGTAATTTATTGGGTACAAGAGAAATAATTGAAACTGTGGCCTAGGAGATCTTTGTAGAGCTTCGATAAGTTCCTAACACTGGCGGCCCAAGATACTATCAGCCTCCCTAATAAATGCTTGCAATAAATTGGTAGACGAACTCCTGATACTAAGGGATTCGACTGCGGAAAAACTAAAGTATTACAATGTTGGTCCGGCCAATACCGGACAACCAGACATAATATGCTCTGACGTTTCCTCTTCTTCAAGACAAAGGCAAAGGAAGAGTGTCAAAGCGCCCCTTGACGATCCCGGAGATGATTATCTTTTTTGATAAAGCCATCAGGTCGACTCTAGTAGAGGTTGAGAGTGCTAAGACCTCGATCAGAAAGATTGTGGGCCAAATGCTCATTACAGCGGAGAGTTTGGTGCCAGTACCATAGACAGCCGCACCTATTCTGCCCTCCATTTTCGATTTGTCTGTATACTAGCCTGCATTTCTGAGATCGATTTGAGGTGATCCAATTGACCAGGCCTCACGGTCTGAAATGGCATTCTAAAGCACATTTCTTTTAGCATGTAGTCTGAAGTCATCTTTACACATATACGTATCTCCAATGCGTGTGGAACTATTGCTCAAGCACGACGTTATATTACGCTCACGAAGCATGGCGTCGATCCACCCGACAATAGAGATCTATACCTCTTTGGACCAAAGCCCTGAGATAAATCCGTAGCCAGTATATATTATCAAAAGTATCCTCGATGTCTACGAAGGGACATAGAGCAACCTCCTTGAAATCGAGGACTTTTTCGATCTTATCTACTAATAAGACTCTATAGAGCGGAATGCGTTAATTTCCGTTTGACGGAGTGTATTGTGTAAAAAAAAAAACTGCCCTAAGGTTGGGTTCGATCTCAACAATAGCTGTTCGGCCTTTCTATAGTAGGAAGCACCGATTTAATGGTTTAAGCGGGAAGTGGCATAACTTGACTTGAGTTGTTCTTCCAAGTGTCCATAGATACGTAATATATTCTATGTGTATTTACTCGTATATGCGAATTTTCAATGAACTGAAAGATAGTGAGTGACTCAAACAAAAGACCATCCAGATTTTTGGCCATTTAAAAAAACCAATAATTTTTAAGCAAACAAAAAAAAAAACAACAACCGATTTCAATGCTCATATGTATAAAATTTTGGATTACCATTACTTTCTTCATGATCTAATGTTTAAATAAAAAAAAACAGTTATTAAAAACGGTTCATGGAGTCCGGCATAAAAAATTATTCCGACGAATTGATAACTCCTTTTTTGTAGCCAGTTAAAAATTGTATTATTTATAAAGTATTATACATACATAGTAAGGATATATTTTGGTGATTCACAAAGAGTCATAATAGTCTAATGTATATAATTTTTAGCACCTAAAAATAAGTATTTATTTTTCAAAAGTTTTGACATTAGGCAATCTGCATCGCTATGACGCCTTGTGAGTCTCCTCAAAATGCAGGCTATACGGGAAGTGTTGTAAAATTACTCCCATATTTTCCAGATTTATGCTTTAGATTTTTTTAAGAATAAATTCTTTAGGTTCGTGTTAGTTTTATTTCAGCAAAGGTACAGCAAACTCGCATAAGTATGTTGTACAAATGCAGTGTAATGTAATATATGTAGGTATACCACGAATAAGGTAAAAAAAATTCCTAAATTGCCTAAGCTCAGTTCCCCAATGTGATCATTTATGATCACTAACTAATGAGCATTCTAAAAATTCCTCATGGCGCTTATGAGAAAAATATATATTTTTCCAAGTTATATTTTTATGTATGTATGTATGCATTTGAAGGGATATAATTTTTATGTTCTAGAAATCGTTAGGCTGATTTAGGTTAGGTAAAGCAGCCTGGCATAATTCTGTTTGTATAAGTACTACTTACGGACTTCAACTATCCTAGTATTTTTGTAATAGGACGGTATCTAGCTTAACGTGCATTTTTTGGGAGAAGAGTTTCTTAGAATATGAAACTGAGATTCTTGCAGAAATCGTATTTGAAGCCTCATCGACTTCTAGGTTGTGAGTAGATTAAAAAAAATTAGTCTATCTTTTCTTCCTATCGATTCTAGCTTGAAAAAATGCTACAATGCTCTATAAAATTCCTGTGTGAATTGCTGGTAGTCGACGCTGCTTCTGAAACGAATGTCCTATACATGTATCTGATCCTCAGTCACTGCTGTCCGATATCGGTAATTTATGGGTGCTCACAATCTTTTTTCCTTTTAAACTCAAATTATAAATTCATTGCTAGCGTAAGTATAGAATGATTTGGATTCAATTTAAAAAAAAAAAAACACAAAACTCCATTAGTATACATATTTTGACGGATCAGATTTACGTTACGCTATACAAAGTATATATTCCTGTAGTTTTAAAATAAAATCTTAAAAAAATGTGCCAATTTTAAGTTTGCGCATAAATTAGCGTTGTTTTTAATTTTATCTATAACATTTTTAAATTATTTAAGCTACGGCTGACGTATGTATGTGGAAGAATTTATTCTCAATTATTTTAAAGCGCAAGACGAAACGGCTTAGTAATACTCTGCCAATTTATTTTGTTTTAAAATTAAATATGCTTAGCTCTAAAAGTGTATTCACAATAATATTATATTTAATAAATTGCCAAACATTTCCTAATTGCAAAATTGTTGATATTGAATTATTATTCGAAAATAATAATAATAATAATTAAGATACGTAGTTGTATATGTTACAGTGTTAAATGTTGATCAAATTCGAATTTAGTAAAAAAAAATAAATAAAAAGTAAAAAAATAATCACAAATATGTACTTTTATATAGGATTATAAAGTTGCTTTCAAAACTTTTACTTGTTGATTTATTTTATTTTACTGATGACACGGTTCAATCAAATTTGGACGAGTTTGATCTCGAAAGCCGGAGCAACACCATCTTATATTTTTTTATGCTATTTTTTTAGAGATAACTGTTGAGGTGTCGAAAAATACCAAATATTGCCAATTTCAAATATTAAAAAAAAAATTATCTTGGACCTAGTTTTTCCGGAAAACTGCGTTTTAATGGAAATGCAATTCGTCTAATACAATCTATATCACGTTGATGAGTTCAGCAGAAATTTGGGGAAAAAAATCCCGCAAAATTCAATTCTTCATAGCAGGTTTTTTTTTACCGATGTGAAAAATATCCTACTTCGATTTTTCATTCCATTCCCATTCGTTCTGATACTAGGCAGGCAAGTTTAATTGAAATTTCACATTGTCAGCATTTTGATTAGAGAAACTACGCCCAAATTATTTCTTTTTTTTAATTTTAAAATTGAAAATGTTTGCTATTTTTCGAAATTCAACAGTTCTTTTATCTAAAAAAAGAAGCATCAACAAGTCTTTAAGATGCGGTCTTTAAGAAGGGGGGATACCGTTTTCCAGATCAAGCTCGCCCAAATTGTGGAGAACCGTGTTACAAATAGGAACTAAAATCCTTTTCGATTTAATTCTCCTTTGTGAATTTTTTAATGAAAATATAACTTCCTAAAGCTGATTTTGGAGAAACAACTACTATTTCGTCTTACTTAAAAAATCGTATATTAACTTAATTTTACTATATACAGGGTGTCCCTTAAATGGAGGAAAATGTTTTTCCTTTTAGGTTATGTTTTTCATTGAAAACGAAAAAATATGGCCTACCATATCGGGTAAGCTCTATTTTTCGGTGGTATTATCGAC